TGCATCGTTTTTCATCGTGGGCAAGAATTATAGCATAATAATTAAAATGTGTTATCAATATATTTATAACATTTGTAGCAAATAAAATAAAAAACGTGAGTCATATAATAACACTTTGAGATCTTGATGCTAATTGTAAACAATAATGATAGCTTGAATCAGTATTAAGAATTGTTAAGTATTAACTATTATTAAGTACAATATTTTAAAATGGAATTTTACAGAAAGAGTACATATTGTATGATCCATTTATATACAATTCAAGAATAGGCAAAATCAATCCATGTTGATAGAAGCAAAAGTGGTGGTTATTTTTGGGGCAGGTGTTGATGAGGGCCAGGAGACCCCTTCTGGAAGGCTGGGAATGGGCTGCATGGTGTTCTGGGTGGTGGTTGTAGGGGTGTGGACTCTGTACACTTCAGATGTGTGCACTTCCCTGCGTGTTCATGGTTATCTCTACAAAATAAAAATAAATACAAATATACTCCCCCAGTCCTCCCTGTGATTTATATATGACCATAGATTTCCCTGTTATAATTGACCCAGAGCAGATTTTCAGCAATTTTTTTTAAACGTTTGTCAAGATTGAGTTTCTTTGAAACACTATAGAGGGTTCTGGTACTAAACTATTCATCATGTCATCTCTTTAGAAAAATATGTCAATGGAAAGATGAAATGAAATGTATTTTGTCACTATTTGCATGATTTTATTTATTTAGCCCACATGCCTTTTCCCTATTTCCAGCTAAATAATTAGCAGATACAAAGTATAGTTCTGTGCTGCAGCTCTGTAGAAGTAAAAAAAAAAAAAAAAAAGAAGCCAAATGCTAAGGATTATTTATGTTTCTTTTGGATTCTTGCAAGGATTATCTGGATTTACTATAAAAGTTATATGTAGATTTCTTTGTTTTTAAATATATATATATTTTATTGATTTCAGAGAGGAAGGGAGAAGGAGAGATGGAAACATCAATGAGTGTGAATCATTGATCAGCTGCCTCCTGTCCACCCCCTACTGGAGATCAATCCTGCAACCTGGGCATGTGCCCTGACCAGGAGTCAAACCATGACCTCCTAGTTCATGATCAATGCTCAACCTCTGAGCCACGCTGGCCGGGCTATATGTAGATTTCAATAAAATATTTTTCATGAAAGTATTGCTTAAGAGGTTGGATGATAATTAGAGATATAAATTCATGATTCTCTCTGGCTTTTTATTCTCCACCTTTCAGCTGAGTAATAAAGTGCTGTGATTTGCAACTGCATATGTTTCATGTGGTGTAATTCCTCTGGCAGTTAGTTGAATTATTTTGCGTACACCTAAACCTGAAATTAAAGCTTCTGGTCTTTTTGGTCCTAGGCCTGCCCTTGGTCCTGCTTGAGTAGATTAGCCTCCTGCTTGCCTGGAGTAGCCTCTTCCCTAGCAACTACTTGAATGTCCCAACACCTGCACGGTTAAGTTTATCTCAAGGGGCGCCTTGGATAACACCCCAGGTCCTTTCCCTGGATCTCCTTGGGACAGATACCATTAATAATTTGGTTATTATCTAATAGGAAAGGAGTAAAGGGAAGGCTGAATAATATAGGCACGCCATTTACACAGCTCTGCCAGAAAGCTGCCTTTAACACTCTCCAGGTCTGCTCCCTACAGATTGATGGGGGAAGGGACTAGACAAAGGCAGTGTAGACACATGCCCTGATGCAGGAAAGGTGCTTATTTGTCAGTCACACTGGGGAGCGAGTTGTGGCCAGAATAGGCATGCCCACCATAGGGGCGTGAAACCTGAGATATTAAACTACTGAATAAAGAGAGTTCTTCCTCTTGGTTCTCTCTCTCTCTCTCTCTCTCTCTCTCTCTCTCTCTCTCTCTCTCTCGTTGCTCACCCCTGACCCCTAGTTTGTGAGGTTCTCATGCTCTGCACTCGCCCACATGGCCCACAGCCATGTGGACTCCATACACTGGACTAATGGACTGTGATTAGCCTAATGCTGTACTGGATTCACTTCCACCATGAAACGGACACTCTGGACACTGGTCCTGCTTTTGGTTCTACTGGATCCCCAGCTGCACCTTTTTAAGGACTGGGTTAAGGGACAGGGGACTTTGCAACCCTAGAAATATAATTCCACAGCAATAAAAACCATTCACTCTCCTGTGAGACTCTTAAAAGATTCATTTTCTCAAGCTGTTAGAAGAGCCACCCTATTCCCACTAACGTTGGGGAAACTGGACCCACCAAGTTCTCTGGCAACAATGGTGGGCTAGGCAAATGGAAACCTCAGGACCCTGCACGTCCAGGCGACCCAGAGCAGAGGTTGGGAAATCATGTAGGATCACATTACATCCTAAAGCAGGTTTGTTAAAGAGGAACCACAGGCCCCAAATGGTGTCATTGTGCTAAAGACCCTGATACCAAACCCAGACTTGACACTGGACTTAACTGCAATTTTGACCTTGACCAAAAATGTAATTTTAATGAACCAGTTTAGAATTTTCTGGTCAACACCAATGAGGTCATCTCTTACGTGGGGTCTCCTTTTACCACCCCTTTCAAGAAGAGACAACCACTATGATAAAACCTTTGCTGTCTCCTCCCCCTTACTCCTTAAAAAGATGTCCTGATCTAAATATAATCCTTTCTTTTCTTTTGGTCCTTCTTCCTATAAAACCTTTTATTTTGTAGAGGCCTGGAAGCACCATTCTAGTTAATAGATGGGATGTTGCCTAATTCATGAATTATTTAATAAAGCCAATTAGATATTCAAATTTACTCTGTTAAAATTAAAAAAGAAATCCTTACTGGAGACTATGTTTTCATTGATTTTAGAAAGAGAGAAAAACATCAATGGAGAGAAAAACATTGATCAGTTGCCTCCGTATGTACCCCAACCAGGGATTGAACTTGAAACCTAGGTGGGAGTCCAGGCAGGAATCAAACCCACAACCTTTTGGTGTGTGGGAGGATGCTCCAACCAACTGAGCCACCTGGCTGGGTTGTTAAATTTTGTAAGATCTTATAAATTTTGACAAGTAGCTGTGAAAATTCTGAAGATACAGAAAACAAAAATAAAACCCCCAAATCAGAAAACTACAACAAAATGTTGATCTATATAATAATTTTTACTTCTAGTTTGGGACTGGAAGTGGTAACTAGGGTTGGAGGAGGGGAACTCCAGGCTGCAGGTGCATTATGGGAAGGGACTGCCTCTAGCTGAAAAGTGAGAGGCTAGCAGGAGAGCTGGGATTATGGGATGTAGGGACCTGTCACAAGGTATGCAGGGACCTACAGAGTGTTCTAGGTATTGTGCTCCCCCCCCCCCCCACACACACCATGGGCTAGTTAAAAATTAACAAGTTCAAGGAAACTGTTGGAATAAGAGGTGTAACATGAGAATTCACCTGATCACAGTGTCAACTTAAAAGCCGTGTGTGTGTGTGTGTGTGTGTGTGTGTGTGTGTGTGTGTGTGTGGATGGCCTTAACTGGAAAGACTTGGTGTTATATGCGTCCAGGGAATTAGGGAAACTATTCAATCTTGGCCAAGAGATAGAAGAAAAATGTGACTAGGAAAGGTTACTTCCAGGGACCAGTTTTAAAGAGTGGCAGCTTTGGGGAAAGGCTGAGTGATAATGCTGAAAGCTTGGCCAAGTGAAGCTGGTCCAAAGAGTCTCTAATTTACCTCTCTGCCTACTAGTACTTCCTCTCACTGCAGTTACATTGCCTTTCAGCTGGAAGAGCTCACCATGTGTGTTGGCCATGTAAAAAGTACATGAGCAGACTAAAAGAAAACCCTAAGGTTTGTGGTATTTGAAAGTAAAATTGCTCATAAGTCTTGCTCTCTTTCCAAATTCTGAGATTCACACATTTGACAATCTGCAAAATAATGACAATATCAATAATATGTTGTTTGTGGTGTTCTGAAATCTCCATAGGAAAGATATGCAAGATATTATGGAAGTTACTAAAAAATGTGCACAAATGGATTAGAGTGAACAGAATCCAGTAAAAGAATGGTTTGAATAATAACTTATTGATAACAGATAATACAAACTTTTTTGATTAGGCTTCAGAAGAATTTGAATAGAAATGCATTGTTTGGAATGTGTATGCTTTGGTCTCAATAAAAATATCCGGTTGCAGAAATATTTCATGTGGTTTGAACTAACAGGCAAAAAATTAAAAATTCATTGGTGTACGCTAATATAGGTAATTGTATATTTTGGAGGTAAATATAAAATGGCATAGGTTTGCTGTAATGGAACTGATTGGAAAATGATCTCTTAGAGAAAATTTATTGCTGGTCATAGGATTTCTTTGGTTTATAAAAATGCTGGGTTTAGTAAAATCCGTAGCACCAAATGAAAGTCTGCTTTAATAAAAACGTGGATCTAAGAAGCGTGGTTTTTAGTAAGTGGGCATTTGAGCCATTGAAATTGTATTGGTTTATTCTCCATGTTGGCTTTTCTGAAATCCATCAGCTAGAAGCATGAAGTACTACTTGCTAGGTATTGCTCCAATAATAAAAGAAAAATACTCAGTAATGGTTAAAACAAATCTTTTTCGTCAACTGTGACTTGTTTCTTTGCCAGGTTTTCACAAAAAAGAAGCATCTCATTTTGCTTTTGTCGAAGATGGCAAAACAGCCCCTTTATTGTCAGAGAATGCACGTGGTGTCACAGAACTCAGTGGTGGAAAAATACCTGCAGCGTTAGCTCATGCCACTGGCGTGGGCTGCCAACGCTGCAGCTTCTTGCAGAGCTCTGCGCACTTTGTCCAGGCAAACCTGGGTTGGATCCCTGATGGGGACTCTGCCACTCTCCTTGGAACAGGATCTCACGGTCTAATTGACTTTATTGTTGGGAAATTGTTCATAAAATTAGGAAACTCAGAGTAAACAGAGAACTCAGACAGAACTCCTCCTTGCAGAGGGCAATGTACATATGGAATGAGTTACTGAGAAACGTGATTGAGGCGAAGTGCACAAATGAATTCAAGAGGCTCCCAGTTTTATTTCTGGACGTGGTGGAGGAGGGAGGGGGTATGGAGGAGGCTAGCAGGAAGGTAAGATGCATTTTGGAAAGACAGGCATGTACATAATTTGACCTCTTCTTCAAATTTTAAGTTTGTGGAATATTCGCAGTGAAAGGCGACTTTGCTACCTGTTCTCATCTCTTTGGGGCTGAGGGGTGTGGCAGGGTTGGGTTCTGAGTGACAGTTCTGATCCTGACATTCCTTCTCCAAGGTAAATGGCTCCAGGTAGAGGCTGGAGCGGGACTGATCCTGAGCAGAACAAATCAGCAGGAAACGAGAGAGGCTGTCACTAGTAGTGGATTCTACACCTTGAAATGGACAACCAGGAGGTGAGTCCCAAAGGCCCTCTGTTTTTTCCATCTTGTTTTAAGCCAGGAAAGGGCACTGGCTTATCAGTCTTGTGATAGGCTGGTTACACGAAGACCCTGTTTTCTCCTCAGTGTTGGCATCAGGATTAAGAGTGTGTGAGCCTGCTCAGGCCGCCATAGCAAAGCATCACAGACTGTGCTGCCTAAGCAGCAGAGGTTTATGATCTCAGTTCTGGAGGCTGGAAGTCCAAGATCAAGGTGTCAGCAGGGTTGGTTCCTTCTGAGGCCTCTCTCCTTGGCTTGCAGATGGTTCTCCTTGTCTTGTGTTTTCTTTGTGTGTGTCTGTGTCTTAATCTCTTCTTAGAAGGACGCCAGCCATATTGGATTAGGGCCCACTTTAATGACCTTAGTTTACCTTAATTATGGTTTAAAAGGGCCTATCTCATAATACAGATATATTCTGAAGTCCTGGGAGTTAGGGCTTCAACATATATATTTGGGGGCACACAATTCAGCCAATAGAAATGAGGTTCAGAAAGAAAGCAGGAGAACTACAAGAGACCAGTTGCAGCACCAAGGGGAAGCCACAAAGCTTGTTGGGGACTCCTGGTAACCTTGGGCTTTTCTGGAGGAGAGAGGCCTGTTCCCACCAACCTCTCCCACCTCTCTCTCCCACTGCACTTGGGGAGGGGTTTTAAAGGAGCCCACACAGTGAGGACTAGGCAGCTCTGGGTGCTGAAAACTCCAGCAACAGACTTTAATAAATCCTGAGGTTGAGGACCCCTGGGATCCTGAGGTCCCCCTGCCCAGCACTCTAGTTCACTAGAGAACCCCCTTCATGCTTGTGTTACTGCTGACGTATCTTTTCATTTCTGTTCTCAAGAGGGAGCAACTAATGGGTTGATTAACTCATGAAACACAAACTTCTTCTTGTAATCCACTATGCTCTAGGCAGCGGTTCTCAAACTGTAGGTCGCGACCCCTTTGGCGGTCAAATGACCCTTTCACAGGGGTTGCCTAAGACCATCCTGCATATCAGATATTTACATTATGATTCATAACAGTAGCAACATTACAGTTATGAAGTAGCAACTAAAATAATTTTATGGTTGGGTCACAACATGAGGAACTGTATTTAAAGGGCCAGATGGTTGAGAACCACTGTTTTAGAGGATGAGTGAGCAAGGCACATGATATAAACATAACCCCCTAGACCAATGGTCGGCAAACTCATTAGTCAACAGAGCCAAATATCAACAGTACAACGATTGAAATTTCTTTTGAGAGCCAAATTTTTTAAACTTAAACTATATAGGTAGGTACATTGTTATTAACTTAATTAGGGTACTCCTACGCTGGCCTTTGCTAAAAACGTCCTCAATCTGATTGAGGTACGTTCGCTGAGGTCGACCCCTTCCAACTCTCCCATCCACACTCGTCTTGTATACTTGTTTCGTCTGTCTCCTTTCGTTCATCCTCTCTATATGTCCAAACCATCTCAACATACCTTTCTCAATCCTCGACACTACATCTTCTTTCACTCCACAACGTTCCCTAAAATTAACTTAATAAACTTTACTTAAAGTTTTAAGTCAACGTTGCACTGTACGTGCACACCCGCACGTGGTATTTTGTGGAAGAGCCACACTCAAGGGGCCAAAGAGCCGCATGTGGCTCGCGAGCCGCGGTTTCCCGGCCACTGCCCTGGACACGTGTACCTTGCAGGGGCTGAGAGAGGCGGTTCCTAGAGAAGTTTCAGGCAGATGGTCCTCCCCAGTGTCTTCTAAAAGGTGCTCTCCTCGAGCTGGGATTCCTGCGATTGCTTGACCCTGAGGCATTCCTGATACGCATTTCGATGCCAAAAGGGCGTGAGAGGTCATCGTGGCCCAAATGATACAACTAGGAAAAGGTCTTATTGCTACATTTCAGAACCATCAGGAACTTTTCATGCATGCTCTCATGTAATTCTCACAGCATCTTAGCTGGAAGATACCATTGTTACCCCCATTTTCATATAAGGAAACTGAAGCATGGGGAGGCAAAAAACTCACCGAGGACATGCAGTGAATGCAGAGCCGGGGTCCAAACCCCAGAAGCTGGGCTGCAGAGCCTGCACTCAACCACTGCCATACACTGTCTGTCCTCGTGTGAGTGGGTGGTCCAGCTGCATGAGAAATTCAGCCATCTGAGTCCTCGTCCTACTTCTCCCACTTTGGAGAACTCCAAAGCTCTCGGGTTCCCCTGGGGAGTGGGTATGATCTGCTTAGCCAGACATTGAGTGAAATGGTGGGTCCATGTGAGGGGGCTGGCCAGGAGGCAGGAGGAGAAGGGGATGATTAGGAATAAATGCCTTAGTCATTGGATGCAGGCATGGGGCATGATGGGCCAGAGATGAGACCCAGAAGAAAATAAACTAGAAATGAGATGAAAATCTGAGAGAGACACAGCCAAGAAATAGATTCAGGGCTATTATTTTGTCTCATTGTTGAGAATGCCTGATCAGATGATAGGGCTAATGCCTTCTATTCTTGTTTTTGTTAGTCAAAACCAGGCACCAAGGGATTTATTTTTATTTATTAAAATGATGGGACCGATGTAGCCCAGAGAGGTGGGTCTGTGGCTGGCTGGCTTGTTAGGAGGCACCTATCTCTTCTCCCAGCAGTATCTCAGTTCCCTCCTGATTCTGCAGAGGATATGACCTGGGTTTTCACTGTCTCTTGTTCTGAATGACGTTATCCCATAAGGAAATATACCCCCTTGCTATGAATCTTGCCTTTTATTCACAATTTCTTTGGAAGAAATGAAATTTACTTGGAATTTTCTATTTAGTCCTCCAAATATTTTCTTTCAATAAACAATCAAAGAAATATTAACCAAATGCCCAGTAGAACCTACCATGGTGCCAGTTTCTCCATGAAATACTAAAAAAAGGAAAGAAAAGACCCTGATTTTATCAACGAAGACTTGTAGGTCAATATCTGCCAATAGAATCACAATATAAAATCTCCTGAATGGTTGTTTTGGGGGTTAAACAAGGTAGTCCGTATGTAGCCCCACATCAAGGCCTAACACATAGTAAGTGCTCAATAATGTGAGTGCAATGATTTTGATTATTGTTATCATGCCATATACTCTGAGTATTTATGTTTAAGAATAGTTGCTAACTGAGCTGATTACAGACCATAATTTTTCCTGCACACCTTGTTTATTTCATGGTTTCTCATTTTGATGCCATTTTCTGACTTGCTCAGATTCAGGACTAGCCTCAGTTTGGTTGCCTGAAGGTAAAGCTTGATACACAGACACAGTGCAGAGAATTACTTGGCCATTGGTCCGAGGCCTGGAAGCAGGAGGGAGGGAGTGAGGAGACCGAGGCAGGGCAGGAGGAATAACCAAATAAGAGTACATTATTGAGATTGCTGCTGTGGGCAACAGGGGCCAGATAGTCAGGGCCTCATGGTTTTCCGCCTGAAGGACAGGGGAGGCTGGAGCACTTACCTATTGGCTGAAGGTTGCCCCAAAGGGCCTTCCTTCTGGGTGCTCCTGGCTGTGACCCAGTGAGCAGAGAGACCCCTGAGCAGAAGGCACAGGCAGGAGAGTGGGGCTGCTAGCTGTGGGAGCTGCGGCCGGGCCCCTCCCGAGCTGTGCAGCACAGCTGCGGCTGAACCAGTGGCGGGCAGAGGGAACACTATCTGACAGCGAAGGCCTCTGCTACTGAGATAGGTAATGCGAAGGAAACACCTGGGTTGTGAGATGTCTAAGTTTCTTTTACTATATTTTATTGCTCTCAGAGCAGAAGGGAGAGGGAGAGAGAGAAACATCAACGATGACAGAGAATCATTGATTGGCTGCCTCCAGCACCCCAGCCCCCCACACACTGGGGATCGAGCCCACACCCAGGCTTATGGCCTGACCAAAGATTGAACTGTGACCTGAGTCACATTGGCTGGGCTGTATGGGTTTCTCTTAAACACTTGATTAAGCAAATAACTCAGGGTGACAGTAATATGCCACACGATCCATACCAGTCATTTTAAACATGAATGCAACCAGGAGATACTCTTGTCCTCAAAAGTATTTCCTGTATCCTTCTCTGGGCACACAAATATAATTTACATCAAATTAAAGCCAAATGCTAAGCACCAGCAGTTATTATCGTTCATGCAGCACATGATATGATGCAAAAGGTTTTTTTTCCCCTCTGTGTATATGAGCATGCCTGTGCGTTCATGAGTGTGCATGTGTGTATGTGTATGCATGTATGTAGGGGAGAAGTAGGGAGTTTTTAATGGATGTCTGTCCACTTAGTGGGAATGGATCCAGTCAGGTGCCATGATTAAATATTCACATCCTGTGACGTTTGCCCTTTAATCATCTGCAAACTGATTTTAATTTGTACTCTAAAAACTGGCCAGCCTTTTCTTTACTGGGAAAAATTGATAGCTGGCATCTTGGAAGGCCTTTTGAATTACTTGCTTTAAATCCTTTAAATAAACAGATTAAACTCCTGTTTGAAATGAAGGCAGCTTTTTACTCCTGTAAATGTATTGTTTTTCCTCCAGTGTTTAAAGGCAAAGAGATTAAAGGAGATAAAGAGTCTTAAAGAGGCTTTGGGAAAGAGAGCATTCTGAAATCCCCCCCCTTTTTTTTAATCTATTGCATCCCACCCCCACCTCATTTAGGCTTTCTCTGGATTTTAAAAATCAGAAGCAAGAAAAGTTTTCTTCCCTAATCAGCCAGGTTTCACAAGCAGGCAGTATTACTCTTTCTAGTAAAAGAAAAACAAATATCTGAGGTGACATACCTGAGGGAATCCTGGCCTGGCTGGTAACTGGTAGGCTGGGCAGGGAGATATGGAACAGACACCCGTCAGGACCTGCCAGGACGCCTCTGTCACTGAGAGACTTATGTGAATATATGACTTTATAACCAGAAGAACAAGACATCATTGGATTCTCTGACACCATGTTGGTGTTTAATGTGAAACAGCAGGATGGGTGACATTGATGAGCTGACACAGA